AGGAAGGAAGGAAGGATGGATCAATGAATATTTGCCAATCATTTCTACCAAAGAAGGTCATGGGAGAAAATTGGCATCTCTGTCATTGATCCTAAATGTACCATTTATGAAACCATGTTCAGACAGTTAAATTTATATGCAGAATAATAAAACTGAACTGGAAAACATAAAACATAAAAACCCTTCACATTTTATTGTATTTGCAAGTGGTCTTTCATGAACATTTCATGACCATTACAGAATATAGAATACAGAATAACAGAGTTGGAAGGGATATTGGAGGTTTTCTAATCCAACTCTCTGCCCAAGCAGGAGGCCCTATACCCAGTGGTGGGATTCAGCCAGTTCGCACCACTTCGGCAGAACTGGTAGCTAATTTTTTGTTGCCCAGGCCCAGAACGGACTTCCGGAAGCAGCATCCAGACAGAGAACCGGTTGTTCACATATTTAAATCCCACCACTGCCTACACCGTTCCAGATAAATGGCTATCCAATCTCTTCTTAAAAACCTCCAGTGCTGGAGCACCCACAACTTCTGAAGGCAAGCCGTTCCACTGATTAATTCTCACTGTCAGGAAATTTCTCTTTAGTTCTAAATTGGCTCTCTACTTGATAAGTTTCCATCTGTTACATCTTGTCTTGCCCTCAAGTGCTTTGGAGAATAGATTGTCCCTCTCTTCTTTGTGAAGCCTTTCAGAAATTGGAAGACTGTTATCATGTTACCTCTATCCTTTCTCTTTGGTAGATTAGACATACCTGGTTCCTGCAACATTCATTATATGCTTTAGCCTCCAGATCCCTAATCATCATTGTTGCTCTTCTCTGCAATCCATGAACCAAAAAATTCACAGCTGGACATACCACACACCCTTGTGCCTGAATACAAAATCTCTATTAGCATAGTGACAAACTTTAGATCATTTTCATGTGCCCCCTCCCCCTTTATGGCACTGGGCAGCATAACTAGAACATGAGCTTATAATTGTATATGTATCATGAAATACTATTTGGCTTTGCTAACTGGGGTATGCATTAGTTTATATTTATGGAAAGAAAAAAAAGAAGAATCAAAGAGAAGTTCATTGAGTTCCCAAATACACTTCCCAAATGCAGATATGATTGGAAATACAGTTATGTGCTGAAATTAAATTTTTCAATTCAGAAGTTGAAAAGGTATAATAATTAGTAAAAAGCACATTATTTTAGGGGAAATCACTTGCAAAAATGTGCATACAGTATAAAAGCAACATATGCAATGAAGCTATTGTAAAGGACTTTAACTAAAAAAAAAAAACAACTTGAGGTAAGGAAGGCAGTTCATTTACAACCAGAGGCTAGAGATTGTGTCCCTGCAATGTCCCAAATTCTTTTTGATCTGAGCAATGCTCTGTATTGTGGTGATCTGGCACTGACATGGCACTCAAAGGGTCAGAGGAAGGCAGAAAAACAATGAAGGTCCTAAGCTATTGATTTTGGCTGGCCAGGTGTTGATTTAAATGTTTTTGAATGAATGAATGGATGAATGGATGGATGGATGAATCTGTATGAGAAACTTAACCCAGCACTTGAGAATTTTGTCTAAATACTCAAGTCCAATCCGCTACCTCTGAGCAACCCCCTCTCCCTCAATGTTGATAGAGGCAGAATTGTTTTGCAAGAATGGGGAAAGGACTCTGCCAGTCACTAACCATTTTATTACCAGCTTGTGTGGCATAGCACAAACATCTCGGAGTCCTGTTGGATTGGAGAAGCATAAATGTAAAATAAATAATTTTTCAACATAGTTGGCCATAGTTATGTATGTGTATTTAGAGATGGCTTGGGATTCTTTGTAGTGGGATATCCATCTTCAGACTGGTCCACAGAGATTCACCCACATGCATGCATATATGAATCTGTTCTTCGTAAAATGTACTTTTTATGTTCAATGGATCTGTTCATAATAAAATGTCTTCATCTGGTAAGAGTTCTGCATGTGACCTAGTATAAGAACTAATTTGAAACAGGAGATGTCCTAATCTAATTTTCTTGGAACATCACTTCATGCTGAAAAAAACACAGTCAATAATAATTATCACAGTTTCTGAATCAACAAGGGTATTATTGCACACAATTTAATTTTGATTTTTTTTTTTATTTTGAATGTTCATTCCAGACAAGGAACATTTGTATGTTATAATCACAAAGAAAATCAAGAGCACTGAACAATCCAAAAATTACAAACCAACCAGTGATATAGAAACTAATACGCTGAACAAATCTATTCCTCTAGTTTCTCAGAAAATTAGATCTCTGAAAAATATTTCTATTTTTACCTCATTCTTATTCATTTAGAAAGTTTTTATGTCAGGTTTGAAGTTATGCTGTTATTACAAAAAGGCAGAGGAGGCAATGATATATTATTCTTTTCTTTTTCTATTATACTTCCTTCCATTTCTTTGCAATGTCTCTGATTGCCTATACAGTCCTCAAATCATGACCACAACTGAGCCCAAAATTTATGTTGCTAAGTGAGAAATTTGTTAAATGAGATTTGCCCCATTTTGTGATTTTCTTACCATATCTGTTAAGTTAATCACTGCAGTTGTTAAGTTAGTAACATGGTTGTTAAGTGAATCTGGCTTCCCCATTGACTTTGCTTGTCAGAAGGTTGCAAAAGTTGATCACATGACCCCAGGACACTGCAGCCATCATAAATGTGAGCCAGCTGTCAAGTGTCCAAATGTAAATCAGGTGACCATGGGGATGCTACAACAGTCATAAGTGTGAAAAATAGTCATTTTTTTCAGAGCCGTTGTAACTTCAAATGGTCACTAAATGAACTGTTGTAAGTCGAGAATTACCCTTACTCCTCATCTAAAAAAGGGCCATGTGAAGAGTTATTTCATAATGTCTTCCCTTGAAATTTAATCATAATATAAGAAACCAGAGGTTAAAGCCCTTTGAGAGATGATTGTACAATGAAAGATTGGACACTCAATCCTTCCCACTACATCCAATCATGATAGCATTTTCAGTATTTTTTAGTGCAAAATCAATGTATATTTTTCCAAGAGGTTGAATGAGATAATTTGAGAAAAGAACTGAAGAAATATTTGGTGCAGTAAGCCACCAGAGAAGTTTGTAAAATTAGCACTGATAATATTTTTTATCTATCTGTATGCTTATAACTCAAAGACTTTAGTATTCATCCATTTGTAACCCTCCTGTTGATAGAAGAAGCTTGAAATTGTGATGTGGGTCATCTAAACCAGGGTGGAACAGTTCAGACAGTGGGAATGTAGCTTAATCTCCCAACCTTCCTGAGAGATAAAAAGGTCATTTGATGATATGGTGACAACTTAAGCAAAGCCAAAAACATTTTTGGACCAGATAGTTAGCTTTTGTTGGGAATGAGAATAGGAGATTCCTGGGAAGCAAATCCCTGCTGAACTTCGGCCATTTTGCATCATATGTTGTTCATAAAATTTTTGGGTGACACAAAACTGGGGAGTAGGGATTGCTGACACCCCAGAAGGCAGGCTCAAGACTTTAAAAGATCTTGATAGACTTGGACATTGGGTCATATCCAACGAAACCTTGTTCAGGTGTGAAAAATGGAGAGTTAGGCACTTAGTCAGGAAAAACTAGAGGCAAGATAAGCTGTACTTGGCTTAGCAATAGCACTTCTGAGAGGGATATGGATATCTTGGTAGATCACAGACTAAGCATGAGCAAGTAATGTGTTGCAACAGCCAAAGGGGATAATGCATGGGCTGCATTAATAAAGTCATGGTGTCAGGGTCACAGAGAATGATAATATCGATAGTACCAGATAAGGAGCTTGGAGACTAAATCCTGTGAATAACAATTAAAGGAACTGGGTACATTTAGCCTAGAGAGAAAGATATGGAGACTACTTGATAGCAATCTTCTAATACTTTAAGGGTTGTGATAGGGAAGTAGGTGTAGATTTATTTTCCATAGCATCTGAGATTAAGAAAAGAATCAGTGGGTGAGAGCTTCACACAGGGAGATCCAAACTTGCAATAATAACACTTAGCAATAGCAATTAGACTTATATGGCACTTCACAGTGCTTTACAGCCCTCTCTGAGCAGTTTACAGAGTCAGCATATTGCCCCCAACAATCTGGGTCCTCATTTTACTGACCCCAGAAGGATGGAAGGCTGAGTCAACCTTGAGCCGATGAGACTCAAACTGCCGAACTGCTGGCATCATCATTGGGGGTTTTCAAACAAAGTTTAGAGAGTCATTTGCCTGGGATAGTATGAGGATACCTGTGCAGGGCATAGACAATGGTTGTATCTAGTTGCTCAAGTTTTCAAAAGAAATGCAGTGTTATTTATCATGAATAAAAGATGGAAGTTTTCAGGCTGATATAAATGACTCAGATAAGCCTCAACTACAGATAATTTTGAAGGGCTGGCCCAAATTCTTTGGGATCTTGAATAACTTACTCATCTGTTAATATAAAGGTAGTCATTGACTTATGACCATTCATTTAATGATGGTCAAAAATTATGACAGCCTTGGAAAAAGGACTTATAACCCATCTTCAAAAGTACAACCATCAAACATGCACCCTGAAGTCATGTGATTGCAATTCAGGCTCTTGGCAATCAGCTCACATTTATGACAGTTGTAGCATCTTACAATTATGTAATTGTGATTTGCGATCTTCTCAGCCAGCTTCCAACAAACAAAGTCAATTGGATAAGCTGGATTCACTCAGCAATCATGTCATTTGCTTAATGAGTGTGGTTAAAAAAATTGTCATAAAATAGGTCAATGACACGATGATGCACTTAATGACTGCATCATTCTGTTTCCAATTGTGGTCATAAATCAAGGACTACCTGTAAGAGCATATAAAATGTTCGGCTATGAAAAATCGAAAACAGCATTTCGCTGTTGTTCAAATCTGTATAAAGGTAAAATCAGTTTTGTAAACTTGCTGATCCATTAATGGATTTGTTTTCTTTCTCTGTCTTTCATAAGGTCAACCCAAATAAAAACGTACTCTTGGGACAATGCCCAGGTTATTTTGGTCGGCAATAAATGTGACATGGAAGAGGAACGTATAATCTCTGCTGACAGAGGCAAACATTTAGCAGAGCAACTTGGTAAGAAAAATCCTGACAGCAGGGAATTCTGCAACCATTCTGGAGAAGGTTTGCCCATCCTTCTCCTCCATACTTGTCTGGATAGAACTTCTGAAAAGGGTTTATACATTTATAATGTAATGTGCCTAGTTCTCTTGATAGCCAAAGAAAATAAACTAAAAAAAAGTATGGCTGTCAAAATAGATCAAACAGAATCTTCCAATATAGATCAAACTAGTTATTTGAGACTGAAATGATTCTGATCTTCTATGCCATCCTGTGCTATTTTTTAAAAAGGAATACAGTGTGTAATAAAGATGCCAGATAAAGAGATATTGAATGTCTGAGGAAAAATTCCATATAGTTGGGTGCGGGACTATTTGGAGTATTTTCTCCTCCCATAAATAGTTGTCTAGTACTTAACCCTCATCAGAAGAACTCTAATCCCATTCAACAAGTATAGTAGAGGAAGCTTCTCAGTATAGTTTTGTATTCTTCATCTAATGGAGGATTGATAGCAGAAATGGTGGAACGTGTTCTTATCCCCATTTTCCCCAGTGCATTCTAATTGCTGAGGAGGTCATAATGTCTGAATGCTACCTCTTGCCCCAATTCTGGCCAACTTCTATTTAACAAAAGAGCTTTGATATCTATCAATATTTCCTTGAGAGAAAGGGAGGTTTTGAAAATGGTGTTGATCTGCCCACTCCTCAAGAAGTTTATCCTAGATTCAGTGAATATGAATAATTCCCATTCTATGTCCACCTCCCCTTCTTGGAAGGGTAAGAGAGAAACTGATATAGCTGCAGTTACTGCAAGCTTTGGTGGCTACAGATGATTTTAACTACTCAGAATCTAGTTGGAGTGAAGAGGTGCACATATATAATATAGTACATACAAGGAGACTTTGTTTAGCAACTGTTTGCAGTTACATTGGTGATGAAAAAGTAACTTTATGACCAGTCCTTGAGTTTATAAACTTTGCAGACCTGTAAAGCAAAAGACATCTAAGTAAGATCCCAAGCATTAGAGTCCTCTCGGTGAGAGGGGTGGCATAGAAACAAACAAGCAAGCAAATAAACAAATAAATAAATAATAAAGCACAGCTGCAGTTTCACAAGCTATGTAAAAATGAAGGTGACCAACTTTAGAGAACTCAAAAACATGCATACTAACCTTTGCAATCCTTGATTTCATCTAATGAAAATATTTATTCCCTATTGAAGAGCCTGTTTGGTGTAATGGATAAGGCAACAGGCTAGAACTCTGGGAGATTGGGAATTCTAATCCCACCATAAAGCACAAAGCCAGAGGGAGGATCTTGGGCCAGTGTCTCTTTCTTAGCCCTAGGAAACAGACAATAGCAAATCTGTTTAAAATTTTGCCAAGGAAACTGCAAGGGCTGGTCCAGGGTGTCAACAAGAATTAACAATGGTGTGAAGCTATCCCCTTATCCCTAATGCGTTGGTGCATAGCTTTAGATATGAAGGAAAATAATGCTCTGGAGTCTATCTGGATGTGACTGTAAAACCTGTCAGTGCCTCTGTACACTAATCAGATCCTTACTCAAGATTATGCAAAGCCAACTGCACAATCCAGGGGGAAGACACAGCTTCTATAAAGATTTGCTAGCAGGAGTTACATATGTTATTACAGTTCTGAAGTCCTTTTTATCTGTTCAAATCCAGAGCATTGTCCTACCCTCTAATATGGATTTTGGATTTCATCACAATATACTATAGATCAGGGGTCCCCAACCGCAAAGTCCATGGACTGGGACTGGGCAAAAACATACTAGAAACCGGGCCAGTCAAACAAGCAAAGCCCTATTTACAGGATGCAGGAAGCACATAAAACTACATCACCTCCAGTCTGCGGAAAAACCTTTCTCCACGGAGCTACTCCTTGGTGCCCAAAAGGTTGGAGGCTGATGATCTAGATGCATTCCATGGTTAGCTCTCTACTTTCCCACAAAGATGTGAAATAATAAGAAATTTATGGAGCTGGCTTCTTTCTCCTAGTCACGTGGGAAACCAATATGTCAATCATTGTTTTAGCTAGTCATCAACTTACAATCATAATTGGGATTAGAATTTTTGGCCATACTATGTGACCACACCTGATTTTACAACTATTTTTATGATAGTTATTAAATGAATTATGACATGAAACAAATCCGGCTTCTCCAATGGGTGTTTTTTGCCAGAAAAACTGCCAATAAAGGTCACAAATTGCAATTATGTGATAGCAGGATCCTCTAACCAATCATAAATTTGGTCTGGTTGCCAAATGCCCGAATTTCAGTCATGTATTTGCAGGGGTGATGTGACAGTGTACAATGGTTGTAAGTGCAAATACAGCTAGTAATTCATTTTTTTCTGAGGCTATTGTAACTTTGGACCATTATTTAATAAATACTGTAAGTGGAGGACTAGCTATATATTACATTTACCTTACTGATTTCCTTAGTTCTTTCATTTCCATTACTGTTTTCAGCTGCAATCTATAAACCTTACTCAAAAGAGAGGGGATTAAAGTTTGATGATATGAGTGTTTTTGGTCTGTTTCACTAGGTTTTGAGTTCTTTGAGACAAGTGCCAAGGACAACATCAATATCAAGCAGACTTTTGAACGGCTTGTGGATATCATCTGTGACAAAATGTCTGAAAGTCTGGAGACAGATCCTAATATTGCTGCTGGTAAACAGAACACAAGACTAAAGGACACCCCTCCACCACAACAACCCAACTGTGGCTGTTAATAACATCATTGTCAACCAAGGCAACTCCAGTGTGTTCTTTGGCCAATAGAGTATTTACATAGGTCTATATGCCTTTATTTATAATGTCTTACTGGTTCATTTCAGAGGAGTATACCTCTTCTTTAATGTCCATTCCTGGTAAAAGATGTATTCAGAGTTACAAATGTGTAAAGAAAGGACACTCTAATTCCTCTGCATTTGGCCTCAACACTTAGATGGCTGCTTGTCTTCTCTGTGATCTTTCCCTTTCTTCCTTCTAAATCTATCGCTGCCTCAGATGGTGCTGTGATGACCTCAGTCACAAATTCTATCTGGTTTTTATTCTTCCATCGTCCATTTTCAGTTATTGCTATTTATTCCAGGGCAATGAGCAAGTAGTTCAGAAATATGACTTCTATTATTTAGCATTCTGGATCAATGTAAAAACTGCTGAAGTGTAACAATGCAATTCTGCAATTGCAACCATAAGTAGTCCCCAACTTATAATGACAATTGTGAGCAGCAAATGCTAAGTGATGCAGTCGTTAAGGGAATTGTGTCTGATTTTTTTTTTTAATTGAATTTTGGAAATTTTACAAAAAGAAAACAACCCATCCCCAAACCTCCCCAACCCTCCCATTCCCTCCCCCGACCTTCCCAGAGCTGAACATAGGCTTAATTGAAATTTCTTCAAAAAATCTTAAAAAAAATATAAACCATACTAAATACATTAATTAAACAAATTATAAGTTAATTAACAATAATATATATATATAAAAACATAAATACCAAAAGAATAATACTTAAAAGAAAAAAGAATAAAGAAAAAGAAAAAGAAAAAAGAAAAAGATAAAAGAAAGTATAATAAAAATAAAAGATAAAAATAAAAAAAGGAATAAAATCTATAAGATGTTTTAAATTTTAAATATAAGTTATTGAAAAACTAAATAATATTTTGTAATATCCAACTTATATTGTATAAAATCTATCCATTTTTTCCATACCGCAAAATACTTCTCCTGCGATTGATCCTTCAAGAAAGCCGAAATCTTTGCCATTTCCGCCAAATAAGAAACTTTAAAAAACCACTCTTGCAAAGTAGGCAAAGATTCCTTCTTCCAACATTGCCCTACTAGCAGCCTTGCGGCTGTAATTCAATTTAACATCAATGTGGTCTCTTTAGTGTCACAGGAATTGTGTCTGATTTTATTAACCTTTTTCCCACAGTCATGAAGTGTGTCATGTGGTCATTAAGTAAATCTGGCTTCTCCCGTTGTTTTTGCTTATTGGAAGCCCTCTGGGAAAGCCACAAATGGTGATTAGGTGACCATGGGAAACTACAACCATCATAAACACATGCCAGTTGCCAAGTGCCTGAATTTTGATCACTTGACTGCAAGGACACTGGGACACTCGTAAACGCAAAGACCTGTTCTGACTTTGAATGGTCGTTAAACAAATGGTCGTAAGTTGAGGGCTATCTGTATATTATTTAGATAACTTGCCAGAAGATGAGTGGCACCATGTGGCAGGGATCTGGCACTTTTAGAGAAATCATATGGTGTCCCTAATTAATTACAGGCATGCCAGGCTCTCATTTTCATTATAAGTGAGGTCTCCTACTCAGAGCCAAGTTTCGCAAGTTCAGCCATAGGCTTTGCAAAAACCTGTTGCCTGCCTATTTCTAACTGGATTTTTTTGATCATCAACACTGATTGTTTGGCAAGGTCCCGTCCATCATTAGATCAGAACTTGTCCATACAGTCATTCTGAAGCCTTAGATGCAACTCCCAGGGTCCCTCCCAAAGTTTCCATCACATTGATTCTTAATGTGACTTAATTAGAAAATTATTAAATATTATACATCTAGGGCAATTCCATTGCTTGCATATGATTTTCATATATTATTTTCTTTCACTATCATTTCCTACATTATCATTTTCATTTTCATTCATTTAAAATGATGTCAGATTTTAATTTTTGTTCTAGTTGCCCATTTCTTTGCTCTGCTCCACCAATTCACTGTAGTTCACCATGGATACCCAGGTAAAGTGGACTCATAACCAGACACTATTGCACAGTCCTTATTTAGATCACCTTTATGCAATTTTAACTCATTTAAAATTAACTTAGTTTTGTTAAGAAAAACCAATATATATTCTGTACTGATCACATGGAGAGGATTGTTAAGAAAGATAGACAGATTGAAGGAGGTCTGTATGAAGCAGACAAAATCCTGTTTAAATTGTCAATGTGATTCAGAAAATTGATCCAATTTTATTCCAATACTCAATCAAATAAATTACATTTATTCAAGTTAAATTTTGGAAACCATTTGGAGAAAGTTTCCAAATCATCTGAAAAGATTTAGAGAATTCCAGTCTGATTCAAGTAGAACTGACTGTCCTGTTTCATTTGGAAAACAAGTTTAATTTATATGTCCATACGTGAATAATAAAATGTAACATGTTATTTTTCCCCATAGTACCTCTTCTCGTTAGAGAAAAGGAGAAAGCAAGATTCTAACTGCAGATATTTGGATTCTTACAGCATCTAAGGAGACTGTAAAAAAGCTTGTGAGATTTCAGTATTCCAGCATATTATCTCAGGGGATTTGATTTGGAGCATTTCTTTAAAAAACAAATTAAAAATAGGGACTCACACTATCATATGAAATGCACAATGGTGCCTGGCATCTAGAAAGCAGGTGCTGCCCCCTACTTGCACTATACAAAATATTTTAAGATTTCCAATACAGTTTGTATGTTTGTTTCCATATCAGACATAGACATATAAAATTAATGCAGTCAATCTTTAAAGGGCTTAGCAAGTTCATTCAAAACAATTCTTTACAAGTACATATAATACCTGAGTGATGGGATGCTGCAGGTAATAATACGAATAGCATCAACACATAAGAAACATAATAAGAGGAAAGTGATTTAGATGTCTTTTCATATCAGTTTTATATATATGGAATCTATGATCTTTAAATGCATTTTTATATTGTCCCTATGGAATATACTTGGTCATGAAAGAGTAAATCATTAAACCTTTTAGTTTTCTAAAAGTGCAGCCAAAAGTTACCAGCATGATGATGCTGAAGATATCTGCAGGGATCCTGTTTTACAGTGGTAGTCATTTATTAATTGATTAGTCTTACAGCCATATCAAAAACTGTTACAGTAGATGTGCATCTCATGTTTCATTGCCATAGAAGCTCTCCTACAAGCTTAGGTCAGCAGCTTCAACATTTCTTTTTTCCTTTATATTGGTCATTACATGGTTATAAAACATTGTGAGGACCATCACATAGAAACAAGAGTCAGCAAGGCAGTAGCTGTGACTATAATGTGTCCATGGAACTCATGTTTTTAAAGACCACCCTTATAATTTTTGTGTGATACATTTATTCTAAAGAAATATGATTATAGTGGAGACTCTTCTATTGAATAACTATATTTCTGATTCTTAAAACTAGATTCCCTATTTCTCATGGGAAAGTCATTTTTCTGTTCTTATAAAATTTTGTTTTCCCTTTCCATTCCACTTTCATTAATATCATCAGGAGCTACATAAAAAGGTCTTGACTGAATAATTAGTTTTTAGCAATAATTTGACCCTGAATTGTGATTATTTTCTTCTAACTTTTAAGAATATATAAATTTGGATGGTTTCTGATTACTATTATTATTTAACAACACTAGTAGCAACAAAATATTCAACAATCACAAAAATAGACTATATCAAATGATTATAAAATCTCTGGATGAATTTACCAGGACAATGTGCCAAATATTTTAATTATAGTCCCCTGTGCCAAGATATTTACTTCACATTATTTTAATTAGTTGTCTTTCTGGAAGTAGGAAGCAATTTTATCTCATCCTGCATGTTCCATCTTCACCACTACATTGGGTCAAAAGCCTTCAAATTAGTGTGGCTCCCAAATAAATATTAGATGTTTATCATTCTTCAATATATCATATTTTAAATATTAATTAAATTCCAGGTTGATCAATCAAGAGTAATAGATTGAAGTTAAAAACATAGTTAATTGCAAGAAAACACCTTCCATGTATCTGATTGTTGTTGCTACAGAAGGAAAATAAGATTTAACCCAATCTATCCCATGTATAGATGAATTTCTAGAATTCCTGGCCAACATAACCATGGATGCATATTATTAGGGGAAGCATATTTATTTTGGCCCTGCTTATTTATATATGTGTGACATATTGTGTGACATATATATACATAAAAGTACCCTTATTACTAGCTTCTCTTTTTTTCTTTCCCACTTCAGATTGGTGCCCAGATAATTAAAATGTATGTATCTGGAACTAAACTCCTTCAATGCTAAGAGATTGTTACAAAAACATGCAAATACACAATAAAGAGTATTTGGACATTCAGTATCCATACTTTTTATATAGTTCAGGCAACCCTTACACTCCTAATACTGTCTTCTTGTCTTAACTTGGCCAAATGTTGCAGAGCATCCTTTGATTTTGGCCTCTCTGGGCCCATTAATATATTTCTTTAGCTGGAAACTATATTGTGGAGGAGGAGAATTTTACTCTAGAGTAAGTGCAAAAGTCTAATTCAAATCAAGACCTAAGAGAAGGGGAGGGGAAATTAAATTTTTGTTCCCCACCATGATCCTGACTTGACCACCAGTTTCCTGCAATTTATATTGCCAAGTGACAACTTTGGGCCAGGATAAACTACAGCAAAGGGGCTGCATTCAGGGTCTACATTCAGACTAGAATGTAGAAATTAGCTGTTTTTTTAAAAAGTAAATGTAGTTTAGACTTGATGGAAGCAGTAAATATGTGTGTAGGTTGTGCCACTTCAGCCTGTAGGTGGAGGCTTTTATATGCATGATATTTACATTTTTTCCTAGTATACATAATCTGGTATGCAACCTTCTGAAGTACAGTATATGCATTCTATGTACAAGTGACATTCGTTCCAAAGAAGGGTATAATCCACAGGATAATATCTTCTTTTCTGTAAATAAAGTGCAGGCTGTTGATTCATGTAAAAGTTACAGACCAAACTAAAATTTCCTCTATCATTAGTTGAAACAATAATAATGAGTTTACTGCTGTTGGTCCATGATTCCTACTGAATCAACTTTCTTTGGATATATCGGATCTTTTAAATGCACTAAAAATCATTTAAGAATATTACAAGATTACAAAAATCAAATCAAAGTTTA